GATTGGTAGTAAGTTTAAAGGGGGTTCTGGTTGAGATAGTGCTATGGAAAGGATTGAAAAGATTTAAAGAATTTTTGATATTTGATAGAAAAATAGCTGTATGAAGACTTCCTCTTTCTTCATCTGCACACCTTTCATGGAAATGGCACAATCCAAATATCTTATTTTATGGCACAGGAACTGTAGCAGGGAAAGAGCTTACTTGAGTTGCACTTAAAACATTATCCTAACTGCAAAAACAGATTGTATTGTTATGACTTATCCCTAGAGGCTTGCAAAATTATTTTTGTGAAATATAGAAAACTATTTTGATGGGCCTCACTATTCTGATTTGTATTATCAGGTTTTAGATGATCTTCTTTCAGGTCCTTTCACACTCCAACATTAGCTATAATCAGTAGTTGAAAACTATTCATCAGATTTTGATTGGCATCATTTAATTCAATAAAAGTACTCCATCCTGTTCTGGTAAGACCCCTTGAAAGCGGGCAGGAACAGGATTGCTGCTTCCTTATATCTTTACCAAGTACCTAACATGCACACCCTAAGGAGCCCTAAATATTTTTTGAGTTAAGATAAAAAATACTCATCCCATGAACAATGGAAAAAAGATTCTATTTTGATAACTCAATCAAAAAATATTCTGAAGGCATTATATTTGTATTTTAATATTAGCAAATATTAATTCTAAAAACAAATGATTCACTATTTTATATTAATAAATGTATTGTACAGAAGACCAGCCTGCTCACTGTCTGAAAGGACCTGCTTTACCACTTCTGCTCTGAAGGTGGATTTTCCTCAAATTTAATCTTTTATAGACACACCTGACAAGCTCTGCCTTAATTTCTTCATGTGATTTAGAATTATTATGCAGTCAAGCACCATGGAATGATGTATGCTCACTGAAAGGAAATGGTGGGAGATGTATGGGGTGCCTACTCTGTCTCTCTGTGCCTTTGTCTATTTAGCTATATTTGATATCTATATCATCTATCTATTGATCCATCTATCTACATCTATAATGATGGTTTTTTCCCCATTTTTTAAAGTATAAAAAACACAAAGAACATTTAAACATGTTTCTTGTGTATGCCTTGAAAAGGTAGGTAAGCAGTAATAAAATTAATTCTTAAGTCCCCTCCATTCCCAGAAATGGAAAAAGCCATAAGATGATATCATACATGTGATAATAACTTTCTCATTGCTTAGACACAATACCCAACACCCACAACTTAAAGTAGGAGAGGTTTATTTTGGTTCAGTTTGTAGACATTTCTGTCCATAGTCAGCTGGCTCCAAGGCAGGCAGCATGGAAGAAGGGCGTCACAGAGGAGAAACAGTTCATGGCAGAGTAGGTAGAAGGCAGTGAGACTTCTTTTTTCTTGCTGTTTTTATTCCACTCAGCCTATTGGTTCTAATACAAGCCAGTAGCCTATTGGTTGGAGTCATCCCTACCCAGGGTGGGTTGTCCTTCTTCAGTAAGTTCATCATCCACACCCAAAACCAATTAGTGGACTAACAGAATCACACACCCACCCATGATCCAATCACTCCAAAAAGTCACACCTATTAGTGCATGACACTGGGTGTGTGTGTGTGTGTGTGTGTCTAACGATAAGCCATAATAATGGAGTAACTTTCCCTATTGTTAGCAAAGGTTCTATCCACTGATTGTCTTCTTGTCTCAGTATATTATATCTCTGTGAAATTCACTACAAAATCCCATGACTTTGAGACATTTTGAATGTGTGTCAATCCTAGATATTTAAAAAATGCATACTACAGTGCTGTTTTGTTCTGCAAAAACATAGAAAAGAAATCTTTAAAATTTCACTTTTATATTTGAAAGGTTGACCTTCATGGGTGGAAAGAAAGATTGTTAGAATTTTCAGGAGAAGTGTCTTTTCTCCACCTCTGTTTATGTGACACCCTCTTTTCTCATTTTGTCTCCCTCTTCTTATTCTTAGCTCTTTCCTGCTCTTCCCTTCTCCTCCTTTGCCCTTTGACCACCTCAGTACTCATGCTGCATGCTGTCATCAGCACTTAGTGCCCTGCCTTGACCTCACTGGGGCCAGCGAATAAGCTAGAATCCTCCTTGATTTCATTGAGGGCATTGCCAGAAATATGCATTGCATTTACTTCCTGAAATTATTGAAGAAGATAAAAAAAAGTCTAGGACAGGGATACTGAAAAGTCATTAAAATGCCAGCCTCCTGCAGTGCAATTCAGAAATCCTCACTGTTACCTTTTTACAATGACCTTAGGTAGCCAAAAATGCTGAGACTTTCTAGGTTCAAGAGGTTATGAACAGTTAATACCTTCTAGAACCAAACCTTTCTCTCTAGGCACCTAGAAATCTAGAATTTACTTTGGAAGGGACTCAGGATAGATTGTTGGTACAAGGATAGATTGTTGGTACAACAGAGAAATAGGGGTTGAGAGAGGCACCATATGCTGAGGCGAGAGAGGATAATTTACTGCAAGTGTAAAGTGGATGCCATATGGATCTGATTCTGTCTGAAACAAGAACTGGCCCAAGTAACAGGTTGTGTCAGACCTATGTGGTGTGGTGCTGTCAGCTCTGGAAGAAGAGAAAAATCCCAAGTGTTAAGCATTAACCTCGCAAACTTCCTAGTTAAAAACAACAGTCAGGCCTGAATTCGGTTTTTTCATCTGTAAAGTGGAGATGATAATAGTATTTGCCAAATAAGATTTTTACAAGAAGGAAATAAGACAATATCTGCAAAGGTCTCAGGATAGTGCCTGATATAGTATGTTTAGTCAATGATAACTATTGTTATATTGGCTTAAAAAATGAAAGTTACAGAAATTGTGATTTTACAGTTCCTTACAAAAAGTGAAAGTGAAAATAACTCCTTAAGTGAACCCCAGTTCAGTCTCTACCAGTTCTGTCTGCATCTTCCTAGTTCCCCTAGAAAGTCTGCCTTTGCAAATGTATGTGTGGGGTGTGTGTGTGTGTGGACACACGTGTGCATTTCCTGCTGCCTCCACCCTACTCCACACAAAGAAGGGGGAGGAGCTGTCAATAAGTAAAGGGTGGCTGTGGATACAGTCAAGCGTGAGGAGGATGGGGTACTGAAGTATCTGAACATGTGCTTACATTTAGGGCCAAGAACTCTACTCAGAAAAGGAGACACAGGCCCTTTAATCATCCATGAGTTTAGGAAATACAGCTCCTCCTGGGACGATGAGTGTTCAAAAGAATCTCTCTCTTTGGAATTGCTTTTACTGTGTTTGGGAACAAAGGGATTCAAGTTCCATGGGACATTCCAGGTTACATTTGGCTTGGGGAACACAAAATGTTCTGGGCTTGGGCTTGAGTTTAATGTAATCTCTGAGGAAAAAAATGACGTGATCCTCCCCATTAGATACTGTATTAGCACTATTTTACTGAAATGTTGATGACCTATTTTGGCCTGTATCCTTTGCCCTAAGTCAAAGCCTGAACTAACCATCAGTAATTTTTTTTGCGGTGTACAGCTTTATCTCTTCTTGAACCCCTTCTTCCTAAAGCCTTCTTAGAAGGACTCCTTGCTGTTTGCTCTGTTCTCTGAATCTGTTGTGGAGAGTCCTATAAACTTAGCATTTATAGGTAGCAAGTAGCTGTTTGCCTCCAGGAAATGTATGCTTTTGTGTTTGTTCAAAGCTTCCCCATTTGTAAGGGAGGTGCTCTTTAAAGACTGAAGTCTGATGTTACAGAAATGTGTTGTATGGAAGTTTTGCACTAAGGTAGCAGTGATGGTTAGGAAATTTCAAGAGGAGGTAAAATCATGGGTAGGAATTTCTAGAGGCTAAATAGCCTTTATATTTTGCTGCTGACCATACATAGAAAAGTAAATTTTCAAATGATCCTGCAAATTATCTGCAGTGATATTTGTCTATAAAATATATGTAAGCATTTAAAGAGAGAGTAAACAGAGTTAGATTTAAATATTTATATATAAAAACCTTTCATAAAATTTAATTTTACACAGAGTAAGCCTTTTGTAATTTTTTTTTTGGATTGACTAAATGAGTGGAATTTTGCAGTCAGGAAAAGCAGTTAGAAAACTTGCTGAGGCAGGCTCGGGTTTAGAACCAATGGGTGCAGGACATGGAGGAGAAACACAGGCAGGAGGAAAGAGCATGTTTGGAGCCATGAGGAGGAACAGTGAGAGAGGTGTTTGGGGTAGATTAAGATGACGACAGAGTGGTTCAAAGCTATGCTTCTTAAACTTTTAACACTTGTAGTGAAGGAACAGATTTGGTTGGGTGGTTTTCTTAAATTATACTCTGTTGAGGACCTGCATTTTTTGGTAAAATTTAGCAAGAATGACTAGAAAATGCTTACTTTCCATTTCTGCTCACATCTCATTGTGGTCCAGTAAAAAAACAAACCAAACCAAACCAAACCAAACTAAACCAAACCAGCAAAAAAACCCAAAAAACAAAACACAGTTCACCAACTGACCTTAGGTAGCAGAACATGCTGAGAGTACCTGTTTTGGAATTAGGAAATTGTCAGAAATGAAGCTGAAGGCCTGTTGGCACTGAATGGTGAAGATTCTGTGAACCATTATAAGAATATAGAGCTTTAGGCCCTAAAAGTGGAGACCAGTTTGTAGGGGTTGTTCTCTATTATCTTCCTAACTTTTCTTGGTATATTAATTTGTTTAACGTTTCTGTGCTGAAAACATATTAGATAAAACAAATATTGTAAAAGCTATATTGACTAGGTAGTTATTGGTTAGTGTCACATACACTGTTCAATATTCTACTTTGAAATTAAATAACCTCATTTTGGGAAACTTGAGTTAGGTAAAGGAACGTTTCCTACTGAGGTTTCTCCCTTCCTTCTTGCTTATCTTGTACCTGCTATTGTTTAGGCTGGTTGCATTTTACAGCAGATTGCTAAGGCGACCAGAGCTGATCTGTGAGCCCACCTGCTTTTGTGGTTCTGTTGTCCCACCTAACCTTTACAGTCACCAGGTTCCAAGATGCTTCGCGTGCAGAGGATCGCACTGGGAGGGCTGAGGCCCAGCCTCTGCAGAGGCCTCCACCACAGAGCTGTGATGGCCCTCAGGCGAGAGGACCTCAACGCCTGGGAGAGAAGGGCGCCTCTGGCCCCTAGGCACATCAAAGGCATCACCAGTCTGGGGTACAAGGTCTTGATACAGCCTTCCAATCGTCGGGCCATTCATGATAAGGTGACTATTTCCAAGTTTTGAAATTTGTGCAAATAAAATGAACTTGGATATGAAACTTAAGAAGCATATGAGTGAAAATAAAACGTGTGTGTCATTTCAATCCTTTCCCTTTGCTTAATTAAGGGTGTTATTTTTACCCCATTCCATGCTTTCACCAGCTAAGGGCTAAAGGGTCTGCTTTTAGAAATTGGTATCTTTCAGACATTCTTTCCTTCATATGCAGCTTTTACTCTGGTACCAGGAAGATAAAGACCAATTAAGATACTATTCTTATGTATACCTAAAATATATCAAAAATTAATGAATTAGAAAAAGACACCATTCCTGCACCCGGAGAATGCTTCCTTGTGTAGAGTTTATTCACAAGTGGGTACCTGGCCAGCCACTCTGAGAAACTAATTTCCTTCATCATTCTGTGTACTTTTCACAATAATTTTATGATGTGGGTTAGACTTTTATTTCCATTTCAGAAATATACACATTGGGCCAGGGATTTAGCTCAGTGGTTTAGCCACCTGCTGTGCAAGCTCAAGGACCCAAGTTCGATCCCTGGTACCAAAAAGAAAAAAAGAAAAAGAAATATACACATATACATATACTTGTGCTTTCCTGAATCATTTGAAAGTAATTTGCTGACATTCTCAAACTTTAGGACTAAATGCTTTCACATGCATCTCCTAGGATTAAATCATTTGCCTATATAACCCCTATATTATTTTCACATGAATTTATCTCATTATAGTCTTTGTTCAAATTCCCCATTGCCTCAAGTGTCTTTTAGTTTAATTGAGGCTTAACTAAGTTTCATCATGTTTTATTCTCATGTTTCTTTAGGTCTTCTGCTTTAGAGCAGCTTCTCCCTTTCTGATTTTGTTTTAATGTTGCTGACTCTTTTTGAAGAGGATGAACTGGTTGGTCTGTAGAGTGTTCTGCTTCTAGGTAGCACTAGTCTGGTTGTTTCCTTGTGATTTGATTCAGGTTAAAAATTTTTGGCACAAATAAAAGTGATCTATTTCTTCTCTTTACATCCCATCAGAAGCACAAAATCAGGTTGTTTCATAGTTAGGAACTCATGATCTCTTGGTTGAGGCTGTTATCACTAGAACCCTCCACTGAGAAATGCCTTTCTCCTTTTGCAATTACCGAGACATTAGTGGGGTGACATTTTGAGACCTGTGATGTTTTTGTTCCTCAGCGATATTTCAACTAATTGGAACATCCACTGATAGCCTTTTTCTGGATTAGTTTTTAAATGGAGGTTCGCAAAATGATGCTTTTCAGAAATCATAGCTTTTCTGAGTATGCTGACATTCTTGTTTAGAAAAAACACTTCCCTTTGTTTTCCCTTTTTCTTTGGCTCTTTTGAGTATTATTATGGAAAAATAGATCTTTTCCATTCAACCCACTAACCATTACTTTTAGGAACTTTTTTTTTTTGGTACCGGGGATCGAACTCCGGTCCTTGCGCTTGCGCAGCAGGCGGTGAAACCACTGAGCTGAATTCCCAGCCCACCATTACTTTTAAATGTCCTAATTACCTCAAATTTGGTTAGTGAGAATCCCTTCAAGAGGAAACCCCTGCAGTCTTTGGACATTAATTCATTTAACTTTGAACTTCCTATTTCCTGGAGTAACATATTATCCTCACCTAACCTTGTACTTTTCCTGCATCACACCTGAAATTATTTCACCAAGAAACTGTGATTTCTTTTAGTATATGGAAACCATGGTCTTGTGTGTGGTTTTAGATGTGCTTATTTGTTACTGAGATATTGTTGGGCCTTTCAACAAATAGAAGCAGAAAGCCAGGTGTGGTGGTGTACACCCCAAATCCAAGCCACAAGCGAGGCTGAGGCTGGAGGATTACAAGTTGTAGGCCAGTCTGGGAAACTTAACAAGACCTTGTCTCAAGATAGAAGATAGATAGATAGATAGATAGATAGATAGATAGATAGTGCTAGGGTTATAGCTCAGTGGTAAAGTGCTTGCCTATTATGTATGAGGTCCTGGGTTCAATCTCTAGTGCCACAAAAACAAAACAAACAAACAAACAAATTCACAAATAATCCCATTAAAGAATAAACAACAAATGGAGGCAAACACACACATACATGTATGTTATTTAATCATCAGTTAATATTATTTCCAATTAAAACTTAAAATTGCAATGTTTTATTCCTTCTGTTTTATCCAGTAGTATAAATCATAATTCTTCATAAAAATCATATTATTATTACTGTTAACAATAAGCCCATTACATGAGGCCCATTTCTTTGAAGTATTTTTGCCTTTAGATTATATTGTATCCCAAAATTTAAAAAGCTGTGTTTACAAGTTTATTTGATTTTTTTTCCTTTATGGTAAATATTACCAATCTGATTTGATATAAATTCATATATTATTATTTCTACTAAATTTTAAGTTTGCTTTTAAATCTCAATTCGTTTTTAAAATAAGTATAACATTTACCAGTTTTCTAGATTCGGTCTTGCCCTCATTCTAATCTCTTACATCCCATTCACATCTACCTCCAAGGTTTCTGCAACCTATAGTTTGTGATCTGTCATTCTTGTTTCTTTTTGCAAAAATAAGAACTGTGTGGATTTCAAGTGTATGTATACTTATTTCCTCTTTGTTTTTATGGAGAAGACTACATAGTATATGTAGTATATGTCCCTTACTTTTTAAAATGAACAACGTATATTGGACATCATTCTGTCAGTTCAAAAAGATCTCTCATTCTCCTTATGGCTGTGGGATAAGCTTTGCATTGTAATGAATTAGCATGATTTATTTAGCCAGTCTACTATGATTGGGCAAATGGGCTGTTTTACAAGAAGCCAGGTAGAAACTATGTTTATTCATTTGCTGTCTTTCCTATCCATATAAACTTTGAAGTATATTCCTAAGTAAATTTATGTTCATGTTATTTAAATGCTACCATAAATGCCTTTTAAATCATTCTTGGAATGTGCCAGCCTTTATTTAAAGATCTTATATGACTATAAATTGCTTGCATGTACTAACTAGGGCATCTCCATTAAATTTGTAGACTTCAAGTTTTCCATGAATAAAATGGGAATAATAATCTTATCTATCTTGTGAAAGTTTTGTGAGAATTAAATGATAATTCACACATAGAGCTTAGCAAAATACATAGTAATTTATTAATAAATATAAATTGTTATTACTTATTGTCCAATTGAATTCAAATTAGCTGTGATGATTTCAACCTGGTTCTCTAAATTGATTTATCCAAATGCCCTAAGCATCTCCTTTCTTTCTACTTCCACATTTGTGTACATACTTTTAAGGTCTCTTGCTGATATTACCACCTTGTATTTCCTGGCTTCTTGCAAATACCACCAACCTTTTGAATTAATCTGCATTTCTATAGTTCTTTAATAATTCCTTCTGAGAATTATCTCACAATTCACAAAACTAATATATCATTTAAATCCTGCTGATCATAATGTTCTTTTGAATTTGGTCTGATTTACTATGCTTCTGATTTTTTTCTTTTTACTGTATTTTGTGACTTCCTTTACAGGAGGGCTCCTGTCTGTCTTCCTTTGTGTCTTATCGTCTCACCTCAGGCACAGTCCACTACTTAAATTAAAACAGTAATAAATACTAATTGAACCAAAAATGCAAAATAATGTTGGAGAAAAAGCCTATTTTTTTTTTATTCTTAAGTTCTTTTATTGGCACATTTTAGGTATACAATACATTTACATTTATCATTGGGTGTTTGTACCTGTACGTGATGTATCTTGATTCTTATTTTTTCCCCTTTACCTGTGTGTCCATCACCCCCTCCACCCTTCCCTATTTACATAGACATCATTTCCAATTTTTTTTCTTTTCTCATAATTTTTCCTTTCCCTTCTTTCCTTTCCCCTTCCCCTCCCTTCACCCCTACCTCTTTGGACCGTTTTTCCTATTTCAAATTATCAATTATTCATTTTAATCATTTTAACCCTTATTTACACTTTCAGTTTCTCACACTAGAGAAACTATTCTGTATTTACACATGTGTGTCCTATTTATTTCACTTAAGAGTATGGCCTTGATATGCATCCATTTAGCTACAAATGACTCTAGTTTCTCATTCTTTATGGCCAAGTAGTACTCCATTTTATAACAAAAACCACATCTTTATCTAGTTTCCAGTTGATAGGCACTTGGGCTGCTTCCAAGCTTTAGCTATTGTAAACTGTGCTGCTATAAACATGGGTGCACATATATCGCTGTGGTATGATTCTTTTAATTATTTTGGGAAGATACCCAGCAGGGAAATAGTTGGGTCAAATGGGACCTCTAGCCCTAGTTCTCTGAGGTATCTCCATACTGATTTCCACAATGGTTGCACCAGTCTGCACTCCCACCAGCAATGGAGAAGGGTTCCTTTCTCCCCACACCCCTGCCAGCATTTATTATTGGCTGATTTCTTGATAGCAGCCATTCTTTCTGGAGTGAGGAGGAATCTCAGTGTTGTTTTCATCTGCATCTCTCGAATGACCAGTGATGTTGAACATTTTTTTATATTTATTTGTTGCGTTTACTTCTTTGTCTGAGAAATGTCTGTTCATTTCAGATGCCCATTTTTGAATTGGGTCTTTGAATTTGGGAGGTCTGATTTTCTTCAGTTCTTTATATATTCTAGATAGTAGTCCTTTGTCTGAGGTACTGGTGCTAAAATCTTTTTCCCACATTGTAGATTGTCTGTTAGCTCTGTTGGTGGTTTCTTTTGCAGTGCAGAAGCTTTTTAATAAGATGAGATCCCAGTTGTTGATTCTTTGTGCTAGTTCCCATGCTACTGAGGTTTTGTTCATGAAGTCTTTTCCTATGCCAATGTCTTCAAGAGTTCTACTTAACTTATCTTGCAGCAAGTTTAGTGTTTCTGTTTTAATATTTAGATCTTTAATCCACTTCAATCTTAGTTTAGTACATGGTGATAGGTGTGGGTCTAGTTTTAATCTTTGGCAGGTTGAAATCCAGTTTTTGCAGCACCATTTATTAAATAGGAGAAATAGCCTATTTTTAAAAAATACAAGTGAATAGCAAATCACTCTTTGACATTTGATATTTAATTTTGTTATTGATACAAAATTTACATTTCATAAATATGTTTAAATCATAGGTGCTAGTGGTTGTGATCAAACTATATTCTTCAATATGAGTATGCACTGAATTTTCTAAATTTTTGTTATAAAAGTCAAACATAGGGCTGGGGATTTAGCTCATTGGTTCCTCCACCTGCCTTGCAAGCGCAAGATCCCTAGTTCGATCGCTGGTACAAAAAAAAAAAAAAAAAAGTCAAACAGAATAGATTTATCTTTGGCCAGATAGTACAGATATTAAAAGTAGCTGCTTTATTATTTGTTCTAAACCATACACATTTTATTCCTTCAAAAGTTTGTGCCTTTATGTGATACACTTTTTATTAGAGAAAATACAAGTACCAGAAGCCAGGAGAATAACTGTTAACCAAAATTACACCCCCAGGAATATGTCAAAGCTGGTGGCATTCTTCAAGAGGACATATCTGAAGCTTGTCTAATTTTGGGAGTTAAAAGACCTCCAGAGGAAAAATTAATGTACAAGAAGACTTATGCATTCTTCTCCCACACAATCAAAGCTCAGGAGGCGAACATGCACTTGTTGGATGAGGTTCTGAAACAGGTAATTAGAGACCAATATTCATAAATGTGAAAGGAGGAAATTAATTGCTTTACTCCAAAGTGGAGTGTTAGCTTTCTTTCAGTATCTAGCAAATATGTCATCCTACTCACCTAAGCAGGAGAGGTGATACCTGAGGTAGTGTTTGAATAGCTCTGCTGCTCTTTGGGGCTCCTCTGCTGTATCGATTTGGAGTTTGTAATAAGAGGAACCAGATACTTTCATTCCTTTTATATTCCAAAATAGGAGGAGTTACAAAAGCTTTTTCCTCAATTAGAGTTCATAAGGTCAATTGGACAGATGCCACCAAATAGAATTTTAGAGCTGAGAGAATCTCATAGGTCACACTTCTTCATACTTTTCACATGGGGTTCAGGGGTGAAATGACTTGAATGAGCTCGCTCAGCTCTGTGGTGCCAAAACTAGGCTGCAGGTGTTTTTACACTTACCAATATCCACAAAAGGAGAAAAGTATATGTGAGATACAAATACTATGGAAAAACTAGCAGCTGCTTAAAATACAGAATATTTATTTAACAAATATCTACGGAGTGTCTATAATGTCTCTGACATTGTTCACTGTAATGAAAAAGCAAAACAGCCAGTGATCCTTGTGTTCCTAGCACTTGCATTCTGGTGGGATAAAACAAAGGATAAATACATAAGACATATGTCGTTTGGTGATCTGAGTAATGGAGACGTATAATACTGAAGAAGAAATTGAATGTGGGCAGTGGGGAAAGTGACAATGCTGATTTAGACAGGGCAGTCAAGAAGGGCCTCACTGTGAAGGTAGAATCTGTGGAAGAATTTGAAGGAAGTGAGGGACTAAGCACGTCCACCTGGCAAGAATCTTCCCAGCAGAGAGAAGAGTGATGCAAAGACCCAAGGAGTGTCTTTTTGAGTGGATGGTAAGAGCTGATCATGTTTTAAAGCACCTACTCTACCTCTGTGTGCACCAGTGGTTGGAAATGAAAGGAAAGCAAAGCTGATGAGAAAATTGTTAGCCTAGAATAATTTTGACTCCAGGTCACAAATGATGTGGCTTGCACCCAGGAGTGGCACTTGTGACATGTGGATGGTCCTGGGTACATTTTAGAAGCAAATCCTAAAAAGTTTGCTGATGAAATGCAGATGGCGTATAAGAGGAGAGGAGTCAGACACGACTATAGTTTTGGCCTGTGTAGCTAGAAGGGGCTGCTATAATTTGAGATAGTGCTACTGTGAGACAAGCAGGTTTGGCTGGGAAGGTTAAAGCTGTTTATGCCATTAGATATTTCAGGAGGGCAGCTGCACAGGCTGGCGGACATGAGCTTGCAGCTCTTCCCAACACACATTTGGTAGTTGTCAGGGACGAAACAGTATCTATAGTCATGGGATTGGGTGAGCTCAGAGTGAGTGGAGATAGTCATCCAAGCTCTGGGTCCTGGGGAAAGGATGTTAGAGTGTTAGAAATAAGCTAGAGTCTGAAAATGGTGCAGAAGATAGGCGAGTTCACCAACAGAGAAAGCAGTGGGAGAAATGTATATTATATGAGAACACACTAGACTTGGACTGAAGTTAGTTTGCACTGTTTCTAAAGAACAGATTCAAAAGTAATTGATGAAATTCGTTTCAAAAAATATTCCACCTTAGGAAAATAAACTCTTTGGTTTGGAGACTTTTTGTCATATGAACTTTTGTTTATTACAGAAAATGACTCATTGCAGACCCAGCAGGACTACTTTCTGGCTGCACTTCGTAACTAATTATTTGAAGTTAGATATATGTTAAGTGTTCTTAAATTCATACACATGGTAAAAATTGTATTTATTTTACAGAGCTAGGGCCTTGTGCATGCTGAACAAAATTCTGTGTTCTATTACTATTCTGCAGACTTTAAGTTGTATGATCTTTGAGGAAATAAAATAACTATTTAAAAATTCTATAATTGCAATGTACTGGTAGCTTTTAGGTATAAAGTAATAATGAGGAAAGAGAAAGAATGTACTTTTAGCAAACGTGAGGAAAAGAAATCCAGGCAGCTTGCCCTACTTTTTAAAATAAAGCTTACCTGTAAAAGGATGGAAGAAGAAAGCAAAAGAAGAGGAGGAAAGGAGGAGAGAAGAGAGAAGAGAGACAGAGACAGAGAGAGAGACAGAGACAGAGAGACAGAGGCCTGTGTGTGAACTTGGAAGGGAGTGTTGTGTTGCTACTATTTTTCAGGTAGAAGGGACCTGGGAGCATTCAGAATGGCTGAGCAGCAATATGAAGGGAGTGATGTAGGGAAGAGATAAGAGTTCAATAAGAGTCGTCTTGGGGGCCATGGATAAAAGCTGATTTTTGCTCACAGGGATTTGTCTCAGGAGGGATCTGGTTTTTTTTGAGGCAGGAAGGAATAATGTGAAGTAAGTGGGGCTGTATACATATATATTTGTAGTTGATGCAGGGTGATTTGGGGTATGAGTGTCTAAAAGTGAAGAAAGCCCTGCTATTATTACTTTATTGCTTATTATCAAGGGGCATTTAGCACCCACTGGGACCATGTTTCCATCTCTAATTACAAACCTATGATTGGTTGGTGACCTAGTGTTTTCTGAATAATTCTTGGTGCACCTGATGGTAATTTAGGTGATCAATTTAAGATATATTAAGAGAAAAAATGCAAAATACTTACTTGTTCATATATGTGCTTTACATATGGCACTTGACCTTAATAGGTATGGTTGAGAAACTTCTTATCCTTTTTTTAGGAAATCCGGCTTATTGATTATGAGAAAATGGTGGATCATAGAGGATCACGGGTAGTGGCATTTGGACAGTGGGCAGGCGTGGCAGGTAGGTATGTCAGGGCCTTTATTTCATTCGCTTTCTAAATTTGCTGTGTGTTTTCTCTTTTCTGTGGCAAGAGGATGGGAGAATTTATTTCCAGTGATAAAATCAACATAGGAATGTGAAGACTGGTGCATATCAGAGAAACAGAAGAAGGAAATAAATCATTAAAAATATTTTATTACAAACACCAAAAACAAAAAGAAAGCAGGGAGAAATGTAACATCCAGAAACAGACTTTGACTTTTTGGATAGTCCAGTTTGGAAGGCTAGAGAGATCCACCTGGCTTTGTTACATTGGGAGACAGAAAGGGAAACAGAAAGTAAAAGGTACAGGAGAAGAACTGACAGAGAAGCCTTCTAGAAAGGACAAGGGCTGAAGTCAGGAAAAAAAAAATCTCTGTTCTACTTTTGCCCAAGTTGGTACTTTGAAACTTTGTTAGCTGAGAAATGCTAAAAGTATATTTTGGATCTGAATCAGAGTAGACTTCTAGAAGGTCTAATAAGGAAAGTCATAAATGGGACTAGAAGGTCTAATAAGGAAAATCATAAATGTTTGGAATTGCTACTTAAAAGTGGAAGATTCCTCACTGTGATTTGTGTCACTGTGATTTTGTGTTGACTAGTCTGCCTTTGCCTCCCTATGGTAAACTTTTATCAAATTACATATTTATATTATTTAGTTGTGGAAAAGTTAACATTATTTGGAATCCTAGAGTACTTTTACAAATAACATTGTCTACCACTCAAGAAATACTGAGACATTAGGAAAAATTTAAAATACTATATAGTTTAAGAGATGAATACTTTCAGAAGATTCCTAAATTTTAACTTCTTTCTATACTCTAACCCACCTGCTTAAAGAGTAAAATAATTAAGCAAAATTTGAAACTCACAAAATTCTTTTTACTTAAAATGAATTCACTGTGTATTGGTAAGCTTTCCTGTTGCTGGACACAATATCTGACACAAAGGAAGAGAGGTTTAATTTGGCTCATGAGTCGGGGGATTCAGTCCATGGTTGGCTAGCTTCAAGACAGAAACATGGTGGAAGTGTGTGGTGGAGGAAAGTTGCTCACCTCATGGAAGCCAGGAAGCAGAGTGAGAGGAGAGAAAGAGGATCTGGGGACAAGAATGCACCCAGTCACAGTCTCAATGTGTTAGGAAGGCTCCACTGCCTAACAGCACATGAAATATTGAACTCATCATGGATGAATTAATTCACTGATGATATAGTGCTCCCATGATCAAATCACCTGCCAAACACAGAAGACTTTGGAGGGACATTTTAGGTCAAAATCATAATATATATTTTCATATTTCAACTCTTACTTCATACCTTTCCTCACTCAAAACACATATCAGTTTTGTTAAAGTAACAGAAAATTAGATTTCTTAATGTAGAATAGTGATGGGAAGACCTCTCTTGACTATTCTTCACAAGATCTATCATATGAGAGTTTTTTCTGGAGAAAATAAGGACATCAGAAATAAGTTGGTTTGTTTACAAGTCACCACTTTCCAAAGCAGCACCGCACCTGTTAATAGGATGTGGTTTTTATTCTTAAAGAAGTTTCCAGGTGAGAAAACACACAAGTGTCTGTGATAGTTGCTATAGGAAGGGCGCTGAAGTAAACCTGGCTGTTGGAGAAGCTTCTTCTTTTTTTTCCCCATTAACTTTATTGGTACATTTAAGGTATAAAATACAGTTACATCCATCATTGGGATCTTGTACCTTTACATGAGTCTCTTGGTTCTTATGTTTTTTCCGCTTCCCTTGCCCTCCTTTCACCCCCTCCACCCTTCCCTATTTGCAAAGACCTTGTTTCCATCTTTTTCCTCGTCTCATATTTTTTCCTATCCCTTTTTTCCCTTCCCCTACTCCTCCCAATTCCCCTGCTCTTTTAGACCTTTTCTTCCTGTTACACAGTATCAGCTATAGATTTTTTTAATTACAATATCAAGATCTAGGAGACATTACCACAGATTTTGCAGAATTTAAAAGGATATAGAAAGCATATTACAAAAATCTTTTTTGAAATAAATTTGACAACTTCTAAGAAGTAACTTAGAAGACAAAT